GTTCACGCCTACCACATACGCTGCAAGCTAAGACAGGAAGATCGCCAATTACAGGCTTGAAAATTTAGCAAGACCCTGCCTTTAAAAATGAAGCAGGATTGAGGGTGTAGCTCAGAGTACCTCCCTCCCACACACACAGATGTCTGTGCTTTGCCTGTTTATCTGTCCCTCCTCTCACCCCGAAGGTCCTGGCAACTACTAATCATTTTATGGTCTACATAGTTTTGTCTTTTCCAGAATATCATACCCTTGGAATCATTCAGCACATAGCTTTTTTTTTGGAGGGGGGTTACTTGGTAATATGCATCTAAAAGCTATCCACTGTGGGTCTTTTATTATCTGAGAGCTCATTTCTTTTGAGTGATGAAAATAAATATGTATATATTACAGTTTCTCCATTCATTTGAAGAACATCTTTATTGCCTCCAAGTTTTTGGCAAGTACAGATAATCTACAATAGACATCTGGGTACAGGTTTTTGTGTGGAATCCTCTTGTACTCGATATGTCTATTTTCTAATTTTTCACAATGGATTTCTTTTCAGTCTTCAATATTTAAAAATTCTGGGGTTAGGATGTAGCTCAGTGGTAAAATGCTTGCCTAACATGTGCAAGGCCCTGGGTTTGATCCCCAGCACATATACACACAAAACATAATATTAAAATAGCCATGTGTGGTGGTGCAAACCTGCCATCCCAGCACTGAGGAAGTTCAGGCAGAAGGCTCACTGGGAGTTCTAGGCCAGGCTGGGCTATGCTGAGAACAAGACCAGCCTGAACTACATAGTGAGACCCTGCCTCAAAAAATATATAAATTTAAAAATCCAAAAATATGTTAAATAAAATAATTCTGAGTTGTAGAAACTGAGCTTATAGTAGTACATGCCTCTAATCCCAGCACTCAAGAGACTGAGAGATGAGGATTATAAATTAAAGGCCACCTAACCTATATGAGGATAACCTGTCTCAAAGGTTTTTTTAAACTTTAACATTTTAGCCCAATATTTAATTTAGCTGATTGAAAGTATGAAATTGTTAAATTATTATTTTGGCAGTGCTTGGGATTTAACACAGGGTCTAGAAAAGCACTCTACCACTGAGTTACATCCCAAGACCAAATCCTTTTTTCCCCTCATTACTAGGAACTGAATCCAGGGTCTTTACATTAAGTTACATCCCCAGTTGTTGTTTTTTTGTTTTTGTTTTGTTTTTTTGTCTTTTTGATACAGGGTCTCACTACACAGTTCAGGCTGGCCTTGAGCTCACTTTGTAACCCAGGCTGGTCTCAAACTCGCAATGATCCTCCTGCCTCAGCCTCCTGAGTCTGGGATTACAGGGGTGATCCATCACTCCCAGCTCCAAATTCATTTTTAAAAACACTTTTGGCTTTATTTTTTTTTATTCATTTGGTGCTACCAGAGGTCAAACCTAGAGATGCTCTATGACTATGTTACATCCCAACTCCATTAGTTTTTATTTGTTTTTGTTTTTTCTTTGAGACAGCTTTCTGAATTGTCAGGGCTCATTTTGAGTTTAGGATCCTCCTTCATCAGTCTCTGAGAAATTGGATGGGTTGGGGATATAGCTCAATGGCATGGTGCCTGCCTGGCAAGTGTGAGGTCATGAGTTCGATTCCTCATATTAAAAAAAAAAGTTAGAGTTACAGGCATGTTCCACTATGCCAGGCTATTTGCTTTACAGTAGAAATTGGATTAGATAATTTAAATATAAAAAGTTCTTACTTGGAATGCCAAGTAATGGCAATAACACAATCAAAAACAGATTACTTACTCTGTGACCTCACTTAACCCTCAAAGGAAGGCTATTATTGGGGTATTTTGTTATGTTTTGTAGTGCTGGCAATTGAACCTAGTGTCTCACAAATGTAGTTCTTTAATTTTGTTTCTTTTCTTTCTTTCTTTTTTCTAAATTTCTTTTTTTGAAATAGGGGTTCACTATGTAGCTCAGGCTAGCCTCAGACTCATGATGATGTTCCTGCCTCAGCCTCCCAAGTGTCAGAACAGGTATGTGCCACCATGTCCAGCTATAGTGACCTTAATATACTCTACTAAGTTATATTGGACTCCTATAAATTCTTATCAACCAACTCTTATTTACTAACAAGAATTTCAAAAGAAGGGACTTTTAAGTGCACTTTTTGAAATTACTTTTGTCTGTTTGCTTTGTATTTTTCCCTTTGTTTCTACATAAACAAATCCTGTCTCATTGAAAATGAAAAATTCTGCATACTTATCCAAATAAATTATACTGTGACTCTTACCATGTAGATTATTAGCTATGTTGTGATTTTGCTGATATAAGATCATTTTAAAAATTCTTTCACTTGTAAACCCAGCAAAAATACTATATACGCACTGCCAGTAGTATATTAACCACACACATCATTAGGTTTCCAAAGCAGGAATACAGAAAAAACAACAACAACAAAAAAAACACTCTTGACGAAAATAAGAAGGGTTGAGGACATAGCTCAGTGATCAAGCACCTGCCTGACAAATGCAAGGTCCTGAGTTTGACTCTCAGCATTCCCCCAAAAAATAAAGGAGAAAGAAATAAGTAGGATCATCAGGAATTCTCTGATTTTAGTTAAGTGAAAGGATGTGGTGTAACTACTTGGGAAACCAGCTTGGTAGTATCTAGAAAAGTTAAAAATACGAACACTTTAAAATATAGGAGTTCTACTCCCAAGTATAGATATTAGGGTAACTCTTCTACATGTTTAAGAATATTCATGCTATGCATAGTTCACAGTAGCCAAAAATACCAGGTGCGGTGGTACGCACTTGCAATCAGAACTTCAGAGGCTAAAGCAGGAGAACCACAGGGAATTTGAAACCAGCCTGGGTTACACAGTGAAATCCTGTCTCAAAACAAAACAAAATTTTTAAAAAAACTCAAACTGGGTGTGGTGGCACATGCCTGTAATCCCGGTAACTGGGAGTCTGAGGCAGAAGGATCTCCACAAATTTGACGCCAACCAGGGCTACATAATGAATTCAAGGCCAGCTGGGCTACATAGAGAGACCCTGTCTGAACAACAACAACAACAAAAATAGCCAAACACTATAAATAAATCTAGCATTCATTAACAATAAGTGAATTAACTATTTTCATACAGAACAAGAATCTATAGCATCACACAATAATATGGTTGAGTCTTTAAAAGTGCATGCTGAAAAAACCAGAAACAAAAAAATGTATTTACCATATGACGCTATTTCTACAGAATTCAAAAGCAGAGAAGTCAAAGGTATAGTAGGGGAATGGGAAAAAAAAAATTCAAGTTATATCATGTATAGGTACAAATTCCCTATAATGAATGTGATCATTATTTGTACCTAAAATGTACCAATAAACTTTAAAAAAATTTTTTTTGTTTTTATTTTAAAGGGAGTAAATTAAACACAACAAAACGGAACAAAATAAAACATAAGAAGGCAATATAAGAGAGATAAATTTCAAAGCTAGATGACCTGAGATCTTCATTGTCTATCATATTTGTCTCTTGTTTTCTTCCAAATAGTTGTCCATGTCTTTGCATACAGAGAATTCATACAAAACAACATAGTATAAAACTGATCTGAACTGAATGAGGAAGGTGTTTTAGGTCTTTAAAACTAGACAATAGGGAAGTCACTAATGCTGTCCTAGAGTCTCTCATTCTCTTCAAAATAGCTGTCCATACTTTCATGTATATTGAAGTTCAACAAAACAAAACTGGTCGGAGGAGGGGCGGGCGGGCAGGGGTTGCTTGGTTTTCTGGTGGTCTAGGTCCCAGTAAATGGGGTTGTTCCTGTCCTGGGCCACTGGAGCCTGCCATGTTCACAGCCGTTCACAGAGCGGGGAGGGGTTGCTTCAAGCTGTTTCATTCTAATGAATTGACCATTTCACTGCCCAAGTTCTGAAATGGCCAACAGACCATAGAAAGACATCTCTTTAGGCTCCTGTTTGAAACCAACAGCGTCAGGAAGCTGCCAGCCTTGATTCAGGGCCAGTACCAATAAACTTAATAAGAAAAAAAAATTTCTAAAACAAAATAAACCATGGCATTTAGGGTTATACATAGACTGTCATAAGCTGGAACTATTTATTATAACGAGCAAGTCAGTAGTTACTAAGTAGGGAAAGGACTTAAAGTGTACAGGCAAGGCAGAACTTCTGAGGATACTTAATATACCTAGCTCTTGATGTTTATATGACTCTTTGCTTTATGATTTGCTAATGTATTTATGTTTTACATGTTTTTTATATGTGAGATTTGTTTTGGTTTCTGTTTTTTGTTTTCCTGAGACAGTCTTGCTATATAGGTCAGGCTGGCCTTGAAGTTACTATGTAACCCAGGTTGACCTCAAACTCAGGCCAATCCTTCTGCCTCAGCCTCCCCAGTGTTGGGATTACAGATGTGTACCACAATGCCTGGCTATGTTACACTTCTAGTTTAAAAAAAAAAGATTGAAAGGAAAAATCAAAGCCAGGTGTCTTATCCAACTTTTTTTTTTTTTTTTTTTTTGTCACTATGCAATTCAGGTTGGTCTTGAACTCATTTTGTAACCCAGGCTGACCTCAAACTCTCAGGGATCCTCCTACTCAACCTCCCCAACACATCTGGCCTAGTAGCCCACTTTATAAAAACCAAAGGTCCTATTTAAAAATATTTTAAAATATATTTAAAAATTTAATTAAAAATAAATAAATTTAAATTTCATTAAAAATACAACCAAATGTGCCTAGGTTGTTTACATTCTTTGTTAACAATTGGTTTCCACATAGCCAAGTGAGTTGCTGCAGGTCGATATCCCCAGTACTCTAGAAGGCTAAGGTATGAGGATCACAAGTTTGCATTCTGCCTGGGCAATTTAACAACTCGGTGAGATTCTGTGTCAAAATAAAAAGTAAAAAATAGAAAATAATGGATGGGGAGGTAGCTCAGTGTGAAGGCCTGAGGTTCAATTCCTACCAATATAAAACAAACAACCAACATTGGGAGTACATAATAAGTAATAGTTTAATGAGGCCATAGCATTTACAGGGTATATTTACAGGGTAAAAGAAAAAAAACATTGGTAAAAGGAAGCTTGAAGTCCTGAGTTCGATTCTTGATACCCCCCCCAAAATTAGTAAAAGGTAGGATACATTTTAATACTGATATAATAGCACTAGCAGCTTTGCAAGTATATTTATATATAATTTTTTTTTTTTTTTGGTAATGAAGATCAGACTCATGACATTGTGCTTGCCAGAACAGGCATTGTGCCACTGAGCTGTATCCCTGGCCCACAATATATGATTTCTATAGTGCTTTTCTGATAAAGGATCCCACAAGAATGGTCACATTAACTGGGTGTGGTGGCACACACTGTAATCCCAGCACGTGAGAGGATGAGGCAGGAGGATCATGTCAAATTCAAGCAGGCTACACAATGAGTTCCGGGTCAATTGGAAGTACATAGTGAGACCCTTCCTCAGAAAACAAAAGAATGGTCAAATTGTTTAGATTACAATGGTATAGTATATAATGGTTTGTTAATATAAATATAAGTGTCCCATAAAGTATAATTGTGTTACAAATAAGTTTCTATATTCTCAGCAATTATTCCTTTGATTCTTACATAATATAAAAGTAGCTATCAGGGTTTTTGTTTGTTTTGTTTTTTAGGGACTGGGGATCGAACTCACAACTTTGTACTTACAAAGCAAGTGCTTGAACTGCTGAGCTAAATCTCCAGTTTAGCTATCAAGGTTTTAAGAAAAACAACTTCTACTACCAGCAGATATGTCTTTTACTTTACTATTTCATTTTCAAACATAAATGTGTTGTAAATATGCATGCAGGTCTCATAAACAGGACTGCCTCTTACAGGCTAAATATTACCCCTAAGTCTGCTTTCCATTCTGGTCACTTTCTAACATCACTCTATTTAGTACCTCATAGCAATATTTTTCTGTGGAAATACAGGTATTTTGGGGAAGTTGCTAAATTATCTTTTCATCCTATGTTAGTGGTGGTGAACCTATGGCATGTGTCCTGCAGTGGGCGTTGGTATTGTTGGAAGCTCTAAAAAGTTCACCATCCCTGGTAAGTTAACTGAAGGATATTTCAAGGTTACCATCTGCATACTAGCTACTACTTGTCAGACTAGAAAGTCCAGTGAAGGTCAGAAATCCTTATTTCCTACAAATGAAGAAGCTGCTATTTTTATTCTTGGGACTCAGGAGGAAGCTATCAGCATGAAGGCTAGTCCTGGGGTTAGGGAAGTAGCCTAGTGGTAGAGCACGTGCCCACCATGCGCAAGGTCCTGGGTTTGACCCCCAGTAATGCAAAACAACAACAGTAAGAAATCTAATCATGTACCTTCAATCACATGGAATGGACTTTAATGGAAATTAAATTGCCCTTCTTCTACAATACTTTCCATACATATGAGGCAGATCCTGGCTGGAGCTGCAGTAGTGTTAACTACCAAGTAGACATATCTGGAAAACTGGAAGCAGAAATACTTAGCAACTTTGCAAGAGAATAAGAATGTTGCTAGGCAAAATAGAAGATGCTCAGTTAAATATGAAGTTCAAATTAATAACAACAAAAAAATTGGCACTGTTGTTATCAAACCCAGGACTTACACATGCTAGGCAAGTACTCTATTACTGAGCTACACCTTAACCCTGAATACTTTTTTAGTATGAATGTATTTCATGCGACATATTTATACTTAGAAGTTAATTATTGTTAATCTGAAATTCCAATTTAGTTGGGTATCTTGCATTCTTATTTGTTAAACCTGACAAGTCTAGATTGATAAGAGAATAAAATCTAGTGAAATGTGCATTATCTTTTATTTTTATTTTTTGTCTTTTTTTCGTTTTTATCGGTACCAGGGATTGAACTCACAACTGCCTGCTTGGAAAGCAGGCGCTTATGCCGCTGAGCTAAATCCCCAGCCTGAAATGTACATTATCATTGTTACTGACTATATAAACTAATGAGCACAGGGAACCAGGTCTCGGTGAACCCGTCATGAACTTCAGAAAATATATAGGAGGGCACTGTGGAAATAGAAGGTTTGTGTTGGAGTTTTCATAAAATTTTTATTTAGCAGCATGATGTGGACAGCAAATATAAAACTAGGAAATGTAAGTGGGGGGAGCGTGTAGCTCAGTGGTAGAGCACACATAGCAGGTGAAGCTTTGGGTTCCAGCAGCATAAATATCAACAAAAGAAGTAAGGATTATCTCAGCCTACACTGAGTCAGACAGAACTACCTACCGGAGGTGCTAGAAATAATTTTTAAGGTCACATTAGGACTTTTGCTTTAAATTATTTTGGAAAATAGTTATATTTGGATGAGGAGTGGGCTACTTTAGTTCTATGGAAATAAAACCTAGGGTGGTTTTTTTTGTTTGTTTGTTTTTGTTTTTAATCTGTACCAGGGATTGAATTCACCACCACGCACTTGCAAGGTAGGTGCTTATGTCACTGAGCTAAATCCCCAGCCCCTAGGGAGTCTTTTTTGTAGATCATATTTGTAGCAAACAATGCATGAGCTTTAAGGGATAAAAGCCTTTTCAGGCCAGGTGTGATGGCTCATGCCTACAATCCTAGAACTCAGGAGGCTGAGGCAAGAGGATTGCTGCAATTTCAAGGCCAGTTTGGGCTACATATAGTAAGTTAAACACCAGTCTGAACTACATAGATAGCCCCTGTCTCAAATCTGCCCTCCCAAAAAAGTCTTTAGTTACCTGACATAGTATGAACAGGAATCATTTTCCTTTTCTTTCTTTCTTTCTCTTTCTTTCTTTCTTTCTTTCTTTCTTTCTTTCTTTCCTTCTTTCTTTCTTTCAGAAGGGATTTTACCCATACTAGTCATGAATTTGTCTGCTCAAGTAATCTTCCTGCCTCAGCCACCCAAGTAGGTAGAACTATGAGCATGTGCCACCATGCTTGACTATATTAGACTTATTTAGAGGCAAGGTGTCACTAAGTTACCCAGTCTGGCCTTGAATCTGTGTTCCTTCTATGTTGCTTCCTTAGCAGCCAGAATTATAGGTATGTATCACTAGATGCAACTTCAGACTTGATTCTTAAGTCCTAACTGCACCTATACAATATAAATTGGAGTTAGTTAAACTTCCACAACCTCTTGATGCAACCTAACTTGGGTCATTGCAGGATAAATATCACTTTTGCAGACTGTATTTTCCCATCTGGTTCTTTAACCATCATGCAAAAATAGAAAACACCCAATATATATAGGTTCCATACATACTCTGAGACTTCATATGGAATTATATTAACATACTTAAGCACATTCTATATTAAGAAAAAGTTCGGGGGTGGGGGGAGCAAAGACGGCGGATAGATAACAGCTGGCTACAGAGGCTCCCTGAGATAGTCAACTTAGAATTCAACATAATACAGCATGGGGAGCCCCAAACAGAGGGAGATGAATTCTCTCATCCAAAGAAGAAATTAAGGTGAGAAGAACCAACCAAACATACAATCTCGGTGCTATTACTAGAACAGCTAAAGGTTCAGTGTTCCTGCTGCAGTTGGTGTCTTGCCGAGCTGACCGAGGTCACTGCAACTTGCCAAGCTGCCTGAGGTCCCGCCGTGACTTGCTGAGCCGTCTGAGGTCCCGCCACTTCGATTCACTGGAGGCGCAGTTACACTGAGACTGGGGGTCTGCGAGCAGAACAGAGAGCTGAGTTGGTGGGTGCCTGCATTGACCTGTGGTGAGTGACAGGAGTGGAGCCATTCCACAGAAAGGGGAGCTCTGGAGGATGACATTTTGGGACTGGGCAGGACTGGCAAGTACAAGGGGCAGCAGTGACTTCAGTCAGTTGTTCCCTTCTCAAACGGGATTGGTGGAGTGAGTTAGGCCTGGGTCACGTGACCTGGCTGAGACCCAATAGGTTATCCAAAACCAAGTCCCTACTGCGGTAGCGCACACTAACCCAGTGAAGCCTCAGAAGTTTGACTGACCTGGAGGGGAGCTCGCACTAAGTAATACAGTGTAGGCCACAGCAGCTTGATTGATCTGGAGGGGAGGGACCAGCATACACTGTCCCTTCTGCAACTCACTAGCATATGGCAGTGGGAAGGGTCATTTAGCCAGCATGCTTCAGAAGAATTGTAACCAACAAAGAAAGAAATTGGGGCCTTCTGGAAGAAGCAAAAATGATGGGAAGAGGAAGCAACAACAAAAACTCCCCAGGTCCCAACCCTGAGAACATTGACCCAGGACAGGTAAATACAAAGGAGAATGAGAATAGCAAACATGCAATATTTTGAGCATGTGCCACCATACCATCCACTGCCATCAGTAGACATAAAGAGATATTTTTGGGACCTCATAGATGAGTTCAAAAGTGAAATATTTAGCCAAGTAAAGCAAGATATAAGAAGATTAATAAAAGAGATACTAAGCACCCCTCAAGCAGACACAGATGGAAGAAGGGAAGAGCTCAAACAAAGGAGAGAACCATTTGGTGAAGATATAAAAAATATAGAATACATGAAGCAGATTAAAGAGATTACCAGGATATTAAAAACTCTATGGAAAGATGGCAAATCAGCTTGAAAGAAACTAAGGATAGGTTATCCAAACTGGAGGACAATTTTGCAATGTGGGAGTACAAAAGGGAAAACTTTTTAAAAATAACAAGGAAACAAGCAGTAACAATACAAAGGCTAGAAGACAACAAAAGAATCTATAACTTGGGGCTGAGGATTTAGCTCAGTGGCATAAGCACCTGCCTTGCAAGCAGGCAGTTGTAAATTCAATCCCTGGTACCGATAAAAATGAAAAAGACCAAAAAAAAAAAAAAAAAAAAAAAAGAATCTATAACTTGAGAATAAAAAATGTGAATGAAGAAGCTGGGGTACAAACAAAGGAACTACAAAGGTTATTCACAGAAATAATTAAGGAAAACATCCCAAACATAGGAAAAGAAAATGATATTCTGATATATGAAACATACAGAACTCCAGCCACCTACAACCAAAACAGAACTATACCCAGGCATATAATAATCAAGATCCCAGAAATTTAATATAAGAACAGAATATTAAAAGCTGTTAGAGACAAGAAACAGATAACCTATAAAGGAAGGCCCATCAGAATAATGGCAGACTTCTTGACACAAACCATTAAGTCAAGAAGAACCTGGAGTGAAATATTCCAAGCCCTGAAAGAAAATAACCTCCAACCCAGATTGATATGCCCTGCTAAACTGTCTCTAGAAATTAATGGAGAAACAAGATGCTTCCAAGACAAAGAGGAACTTGGGGAATTTGCAACCATCAATCCAACTCTACAGAGAATACTGCAGGACATTCTAGAGAGAGAGAAAAGTATTAGGATTCCAGGAACAGAGGCAGAAAAGCCTCAATGAATGGAGCAGAAAACAGAATGAAGAAGATAAGCAGACAACTGATGGCAAAAAAAGAGCAAACAGAATTGAGGCAGAGAAGATTTTATTTAAAAAGGATATGATTGATAGTATCAAGCCTGAGAGTATAGGCAACCTCACTGAAGATGACAAGACTCTACGATACACATTCTGGTTTGATAACTGCCTGTTTTTGAAGTTCTATACTATATTACAAAGTTGAGTTTTTATTAATATTGTTATGTACTGATATATTCAATTATACTATGTCTGATGATATAGCCAATTCTATTGAAGATAACAAGAGACAACACAGGAACTAGGGGTAGAACTCTTTGTACAATGGTCTTATACTTTTTTTCGTTTCCTGTGTTTATAGGAATATGTTTTGTTTTGCCTTGCTTTGTTTTGTTTCTCCTTCTAATATAGAAAGAATAGAAATACATGTTAAGACTCATGCATGTGTATAATCTATAAGCAGTTTATGAGAACTGATCTTATGATATATGATGAAATGAACAGATACTTTGAAGAAAAAGAGACACTAAAATACCCAGTGCTGATCCTGGAGTGTCATAACGTGAAACCCAGCAGTAGTATTATTCTTTGTTCAGAGTGATATTAGCCTGCTTGGGTTTATTCAATCTCAACATAATTGAAGATATGGATAACTGCATGTATGTTTAAGTATATAGGATTGATAACCATATTTCTAAGTTTTTGGTGGACAGTTGAACAGAACTGGTTGCAATCTCACTGTTTTAATCCCTACTTTATATGCTCCACTTTAGTATCTTGAATAACTATTTGTAAGAAGACAATCTGTAATCATCAACTAATGATTTCTTTTTTTTTTTTTTTTTGTCTTTTTCTTTTTTATTGGTTCCGGGAATCGAACTCATGACCGCCTGCTTGGCAAGGCAGGTGCTTATGCTGCTGAGCTAAATCCCCAGCCCCCAATTAATGATTTCTTACTGTTTATTTTTTTCTCTGAAAGTATGTATTATTTCTACCTGTTTTCTGTTTTGTTTAGGCTTTCTTTAAATTAAATTAAAAAAACAAAAACACTACATTACCCAGTGCTGATTACAGAGTGTCATGATGTGAAATCCAGCAATACTATTACTCTTTGTTCAGAATGATTTTAACCTGCTTCAGTTTGTTTAATCTAAACATAAATGAAGATATGGATAACTGCATGCATGTTTAAGTGTATAAGATTGACAACCATGTTACTAAGTTTTTGTTTGACAGTTGAACAGAACTGTTTGCAGTCTTGCTATTTAAATTCCTACTTTATATGTTCCACTTTTGTATCTCGAACAACTTGGACAATATGTAAACATGAACTAGTGATTTTTTAGTGTTTATATTTTTTTCTAAATATGCTATTAGTCTTTCTAAATATGCGTTTAGTCTTTCTTTAAATAAAATTTAAAAAAAAATTCAGGTGATTTTATCTGTATACTTGATGGGTCATCGCATGGAGTCAGGCAGCATCAGCATCAGTTTTGTTCATCGAAGCTGCTTGTAGAACGTGGTAGAGTTTGACTTGTGCTTCCAGGGTAAGCCAGCTATGGAAGAAAAAAAATTATGTTCTTGTGACCAATGTAACTCTTATTCCTCATTAACAGAACCATATTTGTTGTTGTCATTGTAGGACAGCATGGCATAGTGAGTCTAGATCACTTTTCTCAGCTTTCCTGATATAATCAGCGCTTCCTAGACAGAGTCTCTCCAAAGAGAGGGGGACTGAGGCATGGCTGCACAAGCCTGTAATTCCAGGATTCAGGAGGCTGAGGCCAGAGGTAAGCATGGGCTACATAGTGAATTCAAGACCAGCCTGGAATGCATCACAAGACCTTGTCTCAAAACAACAATGAGGGAGGAGGGGAGCGACAGAGACAGAGACAATGAGAGAAAAGAAGAGAAGAGAGAAGAGAAAAAAGAAAAGAGAAGAAAAGAAGGTACGGTGGCACATGCCTATAGTCCCAGCTATTTGGGAGACTGAGGCAGGAGGATTTCTAGTTTGAGCCCAGCCTGGCGAATTTAGTAAGGCCCTGTGTCAAAATAAAAGATAAAAAGGGTACAGATTTAGCTCAGTGTAAACAGCCTAGGTTCAGTCCTGAGTGCTGTCCCCTCAGAAAAGGGGTGGGGGAGTTGGGACATAGTTCAGTGGTAAAGCACTTGCCTACAGTGGATCAGCACTGCACACACCAAAAAAGAGACCTGGAGAGATAGCTCAGTGCTAAGAGTGCTTCAGTCCTTCAGGGAGGCCTCCTCCCTTTGCTAGGGAGCAGGGGCTTTTCACAAGTTTTGCTCTGACCAAAGAATATTGTGATGGGAGGTAGAATCTAACTGGACATTCCAAGAGGAGGAAGGAACTTGGTCACATTTCCAAGATTTAGGCAGGATCATCCCCTACATTACAGCCACAGGATCCCCAACTCATTGGCTCCTGGAATAGGCTCTAATCCCTTTTAGCATGGAACCCTCATGCACGCTATTTATCACACTTGGAACTTTCTCCCCTCTGACATTCATGGTGGTATCCCCCATACTCCCAATTAATGTCTAACCATCTTTTAAATCTCACTTCAAGCATCATCACTTCCTAAGGAAATCCTTCCTAATCATCAAGTTCTTCTATGGGTTCCCACAGAGCCTTGGTTATTTTCTTCACAGGGCTTAGTTCAACGCAAAAGGAAACAAAAATAGGATTATTTTATTGTTGGCCTCAGCCTCCTGAAACCTGGAATTACAGGCTTGTGCAGCCATGCCTCACTCCTCCTCTCTTTGGAGAGACTCTGTCTAGGAAGCGCTGATTCTATCTGGAAAGCTGAGAAAAAACCTTCCCTACTAGCCTGGAAGCTCCAGTACAGCAGATCTGAGACTGCTTTTGTGAACCACTACAGCCTTGGCACTCTAGCACAGTGATTGGCTTAAAGGAAGTGCTTAAGAAACACATATTAAAGGAACTGAACACCAGACATGATGGCACACACTCATAATCCCAGCATTTGGGAGGCTGAAGCAGGAGGATGAATTCGAGGCCAGCCTTGGTAAAATGGAAATAATAATCCTAGCTATATCATATAGAATGCTTTTCTCTCTTTTTTTCATGGAATTTTATGAAGTCTAATGCAGGCCTGGTGGTGTGTACCTGTAATATCAGTAGCTCCTGGGAGGCCCATAATAGGCTACATAACAAGTTCAAACCTGGCTTAAATTACATTAGAAACCCTATCTGAAAAGTTGAAATGGGGAGCTGGGGATTTAGTTCAGCGGCATAAGCACCTGCCTTGCAAGCAGGCAGTCGTGAGTTTGATCCCTGGTACAAATAAAAATGAAAAAGACAAAAAAAAAAGAAAAGTTGAAATGGGGTTGGAGGAGGTAAAAATTTTATAAAGCCTAGTTATTTAACTTTTATGCAAAGCATAAGGTACCATAAAATTATTGTCATTGTCATGATTAAGAAAGCTACTTTAGGGCTGGGGATTTAGCTCAGCAGTATGAGTCTGCCTTGCAAGAGCAAGGTCATGAGTTTGATCCTGATCCCGGTACCAAAAAAAAAAAAAAAAAAAAAAAAAAAAGCTACTTTAGACTGTGATTCTAAAGAAAATATTTTATCTAGTTAGTTAGCAGTGCTAGGAGTTGAACCCAGGGTCTCACACATATTGAGCATGTACTTTTCCACTGATCTATATCTTTAGTCCCCTTGTAAATTATTTTCAAGAAAAATAAAAGGCTTACCTGAAATTTTTTCTTCAAGGCCCGGGTCATTACAGGGTTAAGTCCAGTTCCTGTTTCCGTATTTGCTTTATTGATCAGAGGAGTTCCTCCTGGGCTCCTGGAAAGATGTTAAAACATTAGTATCTGTGTTTTTTTTTTTTTTTCCACTTATAATTTGCTTTGAAGTATCTGTGTTTTACGCCTATTTTTTAAATGGATTTGGAAAACATAAAGAGATCACGTTACCTCTCCACATTGACTTTTCTAAGAAGCTTCCGCAGATCCACCTGGCTTTTACCTGTAGTACTAATAAAACAAGACATACAAATTAGAACTTGCCATAGTTAATCACTTTTCTGAAAACAAAGTAGTCATTAGAAAAAACTTCCTAGAATACAGGTCTGCTTTTTTTTTTTGGTCTTTTTTTGAGGTTGGTTCTCACTATGCAGTTCAGGCTGGCCTTGAACCTACTTTGTAGCACAAGCTGGCCTCAAACTTGCACAGTCTTTCTGCCTCAGCTTCCAGAGTGCTGGGATTACAGGCATGTGCCATGAGGCCTGGCTATGGTTCTGTTTTTTCTAAAATAAATAAATAAATACAACATAAAACATAAAAAACAGCATGCGCTGGGAGGTAGCTCACGGTTGGAGCACTTGCCTAACATGCATGAGACCAGTACTCTCCCCCACAAGGCAGTAGCTGCTGATAGGAGAATAAGGTGATACTGTATTATGGTTTTAGTAGATAGACTGGCAGTGCACATCTGTAATGCCAGCCTCTGGGAGGCTGAGGAAGGAGAATTACAAATTGATCCCAGCCTAGACAACACAGCAACTTAGCAACACTGTCTCAAATAAAAAAAAAATTTAAAAGTCTGAGAATGTAGCTTAGTGCAAAGGCCATGGGTTTGATGCTCAGTACTGCCCAAAAAAACAAAAAAGCATGGATTTAGCTCAGCAGCATAAGTGTCTGCCGTTACAAGCACACAGTTGTGAGTTAGATCCCTGGTTTAAAAAAAAAAAATTTCCCTAAAGTATGCAGCAGTGTTCAGAGGTGACAAGATCATGCCACAGAAATTTAAAAAATCGCAAACTACCTAAAACAGGATTGTATCTATGAAATTTACATATAGTGAGCTACCTATATTAAAGAAGTCCAAATGATGCTTCGAGCTAGTTTTTAATAAAATGAAGAAAAGTTCATGACATATTAAACGGGGAAAGTTGTCAGTAACACTGTGTATCCACATTAGGATTATTCAGAGGTGCACTCTCCCCTTAGTTACTTGATTCTAGACTTACTCGTTTTGATGTTTTATTATTTCTGAAATCAGGTTCTTCTAAAAATTCTTGACAGTTGTTTGTTGTTTTTGTTGTTATTTTGAGACAGGGTCTCACTATGTAGTCAAGGTTGGTCTTGAACTCATTATATATTGCTTCTTGGCTTTTTGGCTAAGATCAAGGGAACTCACTATGTAGCCCAGGCTGGTCCCAAACTCAGGACGATCCTTCTGCCTCAGCCTTCTGAGTGCTGGGATTATAGGTGTGCCCCCATAATTCCTGGCTTTTGATAGTATTTCTTTTTCTTCACAAAATGTATTTGTTTGTTTAGTTTTCAGTGCTGAGGATCAAGCCCAGGGCCTCACACCAGCTAACAAGTGTTCTACCACTAAGTTACATTCTCTAGCTGAAAAGTCTGTTATTAAAACAATAGCATATCATATAATAGAAGTTTGAAATAGAAGACATGGTGTATTATATATTCAGAAAAAAGATTAAAATGATAAAAAACAGTATGTTAACAGTGGCTATATTCAGTGATAGGGTTCTAAATAAGATACAAGTTGATATTGCTCAAAGTTAAATTTTGCTGAATTATCTAGATAATTTTTAGCAGGTTGTGGTGGCACATGCCCAGATCTTAGGAGGTGAGACATGAGGATCAATATGCATTTCAGGCCAGTCTGGGCTGCATAGTGAGTTTAAGTCTGGCCTGAACTGACCCCCATCTTACACCAAAAAATTAGAAATGAACAAACAAAAACTCTTTTCTGTACATTTTAATTTTCTTTTAAATTTTTTTTTTTTTTTTTTTTTTGTCTTTTTCCTTTTTATCGGTACCAGGGATCGAACTCACGACTGCCTGCTTACAAGGCAGGCGCTTATGCCGCTGAGCTAAATCCCTAGCCCCTCATTTTAATTTTCTTATAATAACTTATATGTGGCTTTAAAGATAGAAATAAGCAAATAAAGTCATTTTTTAAAGTAATAACACTGTAATTTCTTACATTAAGACATTTGTAACTCGCGTTGATAAATCTTTGGAGTTAGGTTTCAGGGTAACACGCTGCAGGTCTGTAATAGTAACTAGTGGATTCCGTGCTTTCGGTGATGGTACAAGCTTTAATCATAAAGTGCGACATTATTAAAATCATATTTTAAAATATCATTCAAACAGTAACACTTAAATATCCTCAAACAGTAAACATCTAATTTTTATTCCAAAGCTTCAAAGTATGTGTCTGCCTCTTCAGACTAATGGTTGGTAGATAAAATTGCCTACTGAAATAATGTTGGAGAGATGAATGAATTAGAATAATGTGGTATTTATACATAATAGAGTACTATGCTGCCATACAGACAAATTTGAGGTATTTGTAGGTAAATGAATGCAACTTGAGAACATAATGCTAAGTGAATTAAGTAAGAGACATAAGCTTAACTATTCCATGGTTTCTCTTATAAATGAAATATATATAATACACAAATGTATACATATATACATGTATCATGAATATATACACAAATATATATTTATTTGAATATATATTTGTTTGTATACATAATACACAAATAAAAAGCAAAATAGAAGTGGAATAAATAGGAAGTAGGAGACAAATACTTTCCCAAATTACATATTCCATTGTTTCAAAACTATTTTCATATATATACTAATTTGTTTCATTTATGCTGCTAGTTTATCTTAGTTCATTGAAAAGTGTTTTCTTATTTTCTGTTTGTTTCTTCTTTGTAAGAATCTTTTTGGCCTATGCCTTATATTGTGAATAACTACTTTGAAGATAATGATTCATAATGTATTAAACTATTGTTATTTTCTTATTATTATCTCAGGGATTATTTTTTGGTACTGGGGACTGAACTCATGACCTCACACTTGCCAGGCAGGAACTTGTGCCACTGAGCTAAATCCCTGGTCTTATTTTAGAAAATTTTATTGTTTCATAAAATAAAAAAAAGTTATCTACACATTTCACCGAAAAGATCCAAAGCTACTAAAATGAATTATCAAATATTGAATGTGGGTTGACTTCCATACATAAATTATATAATTATTTTTCACAAAGGAACAGTCAGGTTAAAAGCAAGAAGACGATGAATGTGGTCAATGATGTTTTTACCTTCCTCTTTTCATCAGTCTGTGTCTTCCTTAATTTTACAGTCAGTAGATCTTTAACTGTTATCTGCATGGGTTCATTCTTTCTTAATGCTCCAGCCTTAAAATACATGGAAACATTTTTTAAAATATATATATATTTAGACAGAGTCTCACTGTGTAGTTCAGGCTCAATAGAACTCACAGCAATTCTCCTGCCTCAGTCTCCCAAGTGGTAGGATTACAGGCGTGCTCAAAATAACAGATGTGCGCCATTATGCCTGGCCCAGAAATTAGAATTGGAACCAGGATGTCTGGTGAAGTGCAAATTCAAATCTAACTTCTAAAGAGTCAGAGTTATAAGTTAACTCTTATTTACCCTTAGAGCTGACTAAAATTCATGCAAGCAAGAATGATCTTGTTTTTAGTACTGAAAATTATTCATCAAAATGTAAGAGATGAGCTACAACAGGATATGGTGGTGCATGTCTATAATCCCAGAACTCAGAAGGCTGAGGCAGGAATATCACCATGCTTGAGGTCAGCCTGGGCTACATAGCCAGACTGTGTCTCAAAACAACCAGGAAGGGCTGGGGATTTAGCTCAGTGGCATAAGCGCCTGCCTTGCAAGTGTGTGGTAGTGAGTTCAATCCCTGGTACAAAAAAAAAAAAAAAAAAAAAACAGGAAAAAAAATGGTGAATGATCCTCTATAAGAGTTGAAGGAGTTGCTCAAATCCATGTGAAGTCTTGCGTGAATTACTTAGAAAGAAGATGGCTGGGTGTGCTGGTGCACTCCTGTAATCCCAGTACTTGGGAGGCTGAGGCAGGCAGATCATTGCAAATTTGAGACCAGCATGGGCTACAAAGTGAGCCCAAGACAAGCCTGAACTGCATGAGATCCTGTCTCAAAAAGAAAGAGGATTCAGTTCCCACAGAACAAGTAAGTACAGAGCAGTAGGAGAGCTGTATGTTACAGCAAATGTATCAAAAGGCTCTGGACTTTTTTGGTTGGAGAATTGAACCTAGCGCTTGCTGGGCAACTTCTCCACCACTGAGTTATATTCCTAATGTGGACATTGCTCCCTTCCCTGCTTCTTATAAATTTTGAGGCAGGATTTCACTGACTTGGCCACATAGCCCTAGAACTTGAAATGTTTGTGCCTTCGTCTCCCAAATAACTAAGATTACAGGAACACACGAACACACCAGGCTTTCCTTTAGCTATTTTAAACCGATTGTATATATACTGAAAAATTCAGATTTTAAAAGACTCATGCCTATCTTAATGATTCACAAATATTCTTTTTTTGATGGAAGTAATGGTAACAAATACTGGTTCTCCAGCTTAATTAATGACATTAAGACTTTATAATCCAGGCACTCTTTTTGGTCTGGCATCACTCACTCAGCAATTGTTTTTCTTAGTTTGGTTTCCTAGGGATATCTTTCTTTTGGTAAAAGGGTATGCTGAATAGTCCATAGGAATCATCTAATTTACAGGATTTCATTCATTTATGTGTGGTGGCAGGTGCCTGTAGTCTCATCTGTTTGGGCAGCTGAGGCAGGAGAATTGTTTCAGCTCAGTAGTTCAGTATCAGCCTGGGAAATTCAGTGAAATCGCATCTCCAAATGAACAAACACAAGAATTGCTGAAATCAAGACAATGGAATCTGAACAAAATATGCCCTTCTAAGCCTTTAACAAAACTGTAAGAGGCAGTTGGCCTCTTTCCTGTATTATATGTTTACCACATCCCACCATTACTAATCATTTCCTACCTGAGGTGCTTTAGATAGGCTGGGTTTTCTGAGCAGCACAGGATACAGTGGTGGCAGAGGAGGAGGTGGTGGCAGTGGCGGTGGTGGTGGCGGTGGCGGTGGTGGTGGAGGAAGTTGGCTGTCTGATGGTGGACGTGTGGCTAGAGAGTCTCTGGGGCTGGTTAGATTTCTACCTTTTGTAAGCTTACCACTTGTGTGACACGATTGACCACAGGTTGGACAAGACTTTTCTGGGAGAGTCTGGAAGAATATATTACATTTGGCAAATGAGTAACACGTTCATTTGGTTCTCATGTGCAACACAGTATAAAAGCTGACATGTATTGAAGGCTTTCTTAGTGTGTTGTGGGCTTTATAGTATTTTCTCATTCAGTGGTCAAGGCTTTTGCCATTTCATTCATTCATTCATTTGTGTACTATGAGCCTGGCTGTGACTTTGAAGATAAGACATTAAACATACATAAAGATTAGAATTCAAACAAAACAATGCCATGGTAAGAGCCATGAAGTGTGCTCTGAGTATGAACATCTGAGTCTTGGGGGATGATGATCAAAAGGATGAGGTTGGTGGTGCATGTCTGTAATCCCAGGACTCTGGAAGGCTGAAGCAGGAGGATCTAAAATTTGAGCCCAGCATGGCCTTAGATAGAGAAAGCCTATCTAAAAATTTTAAAAGGATGAAAAGAGACAAGAGCCAGGAATGCAGCTCAGTTGCAAAGGCTCCCCTATGTTCAATTCCCAGTATCACAAAAAAGAAAAAAGGGGGGAAACAAAGGAACTAAAACTTACCAGAGGGAAATAAGAACTGGAGAAAAAGATCCTCCCAAAAGAAAAATACTTAATTAACCAAGAATATAGACATTTAAGATACTGTTATATATTCATGGTTCTAATTTTTTTCTTTCTTTTTCTCTTTTTGTCAGTTCAGGCTGGCTTCGAACTTGTCTCAGCTTCCTGGGTACTGGGATTACAGATATATACCACCATGCCAGCCCAAATTCATATTTGGATATCTTAATATCTATTATTTCAAAATGGGACTATATTTGCATACAGGGCCTTCACAGAGGTGATTAGTTAAAATGAGACAATTCGGGTAGATATTAATCCCATTCCAAATAGTGTTCTTATAAGAGGAAATGATACAGATCTCACAAGAGGAAGCTCACATGGGAGCACAGTAAAAGGTGGTAGTCACCTGCAAGCCAGGGATTGAGGCTTTTCCCAAGAAATCAACCTTGCTGACAGCTTGATTTCAGACTTCTACCTCCAAACTGTGAGAAAATAAATTTCTGTTGAATACATCTAGTCTATGGTGTTCATTAGGGCAGTCGTACAAAACGAATACCCTATGAAATAAGGTGGTATATTAATTTTTAGTGACTACTATAATAAGTTATCAGGAACGAGGTTGTTTAAAATAATTACACACCTGTAATCCCAGCACTTGGGAGGCTGAGGAAGCAGATTTCCCTAAGTTTGAGACTAGTCTAGGCTACATACTGAGACTCTGTCTTAAAAAATAAGTGAAATAAAATAAAATAAAATAATTGCAACTTATTTTCCTACAGTGCTACAGGCTGGAAGTCAGAAATCAAGGTGTCACCAAAGCTGGGCTCCCTGTCAAGGCTCTAGAGAAAATCAACCCTTTGTCTCTTGCAGCTTCTGCTAGTCACCAGCATTTCTCAGTTTGTAACTGATCACTCTGATTTCTTGTCTTCATGTCCATAGTGCACCACTTCCTCTTTGTCTAAATTGTCTTCTGCATGTCTCTCTTCCAAGGACACTTATCATTAGATTTAGGATCTACCCAGATAAACCAAAATCTCATCTCAAAATCCTTAATCACAACATATAGATTCTTTTTTCACAAATAAGATAATTTTTACAGGTTCATGGAATTAGGACTTGAACATACTGTCTTGGAAACCACTGTCTAGTTAGTCCCCTATAGATGGAATCATGACCATTTTATAGATGAAGAAACTAAGGCTCAGAGAAAGATGACTTGCCTTATCCTCATTTGGCTAGCTTATTTTTAGGTACAAATTCTGGAAGCAGCAGTGGAATCCAGAAGCTTCTCTCCAGATCAATAGGTACAATACTGAGTTACTGAGAATGCTGGCCTAAACTGGGTTTGGTTATACATGCTTGTAATTCCAGCAGTGGGGAGACTGAAGCGGGAGGATTTCTATGAGTATGAGGCCAGCCTGGGAGCACAGTGAGTTCGACGCCAGCCTGAATTACATATCAAAACGCTTAAGAAAGAAAGAAAGAGAGAGAGCAAGAAAGAAAGAAAGAAAGAAAGAAAAAAAAAAAGCACAGCTGGGCATGGTTACATACACCTGTAATTCCAACACTCAAGAGGCTAAAATGGGAGCATCACCATGAGTTTGAGGCCAGCCTGGGCTACAATAACAACTTCAAAACCAGCCTGAGTTATACAATGAAACCCTGTCTCAAAAAATAAAACAGGAGGCTGGGTGTGGCTCAGTGGTAAAGTATTTGCTCTGCATTCCTGAAGCTCTGAATTCAATCCCCAGCACAACACACACAGGAAAGAAGAAGATAAAATAAAAAGACCTGTTTGAACCACTACCTAGTTACCAGCACAAAGTGCTCTGGAAAGGGAAGTAATGCGATTATGGGAATTCAAAATAACAAATTTACTTCTAGAACCAAAATCTCAATGGGTCAATGAAGTTTATGCTTTAAAAATTATTTTCTGCATTTATGTACAGAATACAAAACTCAGGAGGTGAAAACAGCACAAAGTGTCAAATCCAGTCCCTTTCTTCCCTGACCTCAGCTCTCCAGCTGCCTCTCCAAGGGGCAGAGAGCCTGGCATTTCTCAACAATATAAGAAAGCACCTGTTTCCCCAGACATTTTGGGTTTTTTGTTAGTTTTGCCAATCTAGTGGATTAAAAATGTTGATTATTAAAGTTTATTGTGCATTTCTGTTTGGTGTGAGTGCTAGAGATTACTCCTCCTCTCTCAATACACATTTTTGCTTTTCTCTGTAGTAACAACACTGAATTGGGTTTCTCTCTCTCACTTTTTTTGTAGTTGTGTTTTATAATACCACAAAGTGAAAACAGTCTTGTGTGTGTGTGTGTGTGTGCGTGTGTGTGTGTGAAAACAGTCTTAAATGTTTTTCACAAGAGAAATGGGAAGCAAAATGTGGCAGATTTACAAGATGGCAATTAGAATTACAACCACAAATACAATTACAGAGGATGGATTGATTTACACTTCAGCAACATGCATGGATCTCAAAACATTATTCAGTAAAGAAAGCAGATTGGAGAACAATTCAATATAATATTTGCATTAGATACAAAACTGAATTGGACTCTTTTAGCCTGATGTTTGAGATAATTATAGATCTCATAGCTGAGCATTTCCTCTATTGCAATGGTCTTTTTGTATAAAATCTTTCTGCCTAATTGTGTGCGTGTGTTTTTCTTTTTTGTACTGGGTATTGAACTCACTAGCAGGGCAGGCATTCATGCTGCTGAGCTAAACCCTCAGCCCCTCTTATTTTTGTTTTTAAGATAGGGTCTTGCTATGTAGTTCAGGCTGGCCTTATACTTGCAAGGATCTTCCTGCCTCAGCCTCCTGAGTACTAGGATTTCAGGCATGTGCCAGCATGGCTGGAAAATTATGGATTTATTTTTTAGTCGACAATACCAACCTTCAGTGTTTCCTGGATCTTGCATAATTCATTTTCCAAAATGCAAATTTGTTGTTTTAGACTATGGTATTCTTGGTGGCAGCTTCGGAATTGAAAGATGTTATCTTTCAATACTTCTAAACTCTGAAATTTATAATAAACAAGTGAATCCTATGAGAAATATGGTAAAGAAGGAGAAAAAAAATGAACCCATAAAATGGTTTGATATATTTCTTACAGAACCAAAGGCACACAAGACCCCAAACTTCTTGCCTAATCTTAGCCAGAGCATTCTGCTGAGCTGCGCATACATGCCAAAAGCCCTGATCTGCCAAAAAACCATACTGCTGCAAACAGGTACTGCCAAAAAACCATACTGCTGTACACATACCTGTGCTACACAGCTCTGGCACCAGTTATACACTGACCACACTCTATTTGTCCAACATTGTATCACTTCTTTGATGTTGGAAAATTTGAAGTTCCAGGATGGTCTGAGCCAGTTTGTACTATGAGGTAGATCTGTTGAAGAAATAACCATTCTGCAGGAAAAACAGAATTAAACAAAGTAAGTCAAAAAAATAAAAACCCTAAGAAATCAATTCTGATTACTTTTTATTTGCTGTCATTGTTGCTGTTTTTGTGACAGGGTCTCAGAGTTCAGAGTGGCCTTGAACTTACTATGTACCCTAGCCTGGCCTTAAACTGATGACAATCTTCCTGCCTCAGTCACCTGAGTCCATGCCTGGCTTGATTTCATTTACTTTTATGTATTTATTTATTTATGTATTAGGGATTAAATTCTGGACACTGGACATTAAATATTACCTCTGCCACTGGGCTACAACCCCAGACCCAAGAATCTGGTTTTATAGTATAACTCAGGAGCAAAGTCTTTTTAAAACCAAATCCTTTATTAAATTCTAGAATTCAGGGAATCAACTGGTTTTGGTGGTACACACCTATATAATCTCAGCACTCAGGAGACTGAGCGAAGAGGACCACTGTGAGTTGGAGGCTTGCCTGGACTACATAGTGAGTTCAAGGCCAGCCTGAAGAACATAGTAAAAGCTTGTCTGAAAAAGCCACAACAAATGAACAAACAGCAGCAACAACCAAAAACCTTACAACATAATATGTTAGATAGTGAATACATGCTAGGGAGAAAAAGAAACCACGAGAGTACGCAAAAGGTTGGACGGGGTGAAATTTTAGGTTTAAAAGTCAAGAAAAGTGCCACTGAGAAGGTGACTTTTGAGAAAAACCATAAAAAAGTAAGGAAGTTAGCAGTCAAATATCTGAGCGGTCAGGTGTGATGGCCTACATGTGGAATCCCAGCATTAAGGCAGCTAAGTCAGATGAGTCACAAATTCAAGCCCCATTGAGACAATTTAGAAATTTAGGAGAGCCATGTCTCAAAATGTGGGATAAAAAGGGAGATAGTATGAGGATATAGCTCATTGCAGAGGAGGCTGAGTTCAATCCCTAGTACCACAAAAAACCAAACAAACAAATAGCTGAGAGAGGAGAGATCTCCAGAAGATCAATGATAAATCCAGAACCCCTGAGATGGGAGCTCCCCTGAAGTGTTTGAGGAATAGTAAGGAGGTCTAGGGAGAAAGACTAAAGAGCAAGGGATTAGCAAACAAGGTTAGAGTCAGCTCATAAAAGCCTGGTGGGTTAAATTTTACCTTAAGAAAGTACGACATTGGAGAATTAATTTTTTTTTTTTTTGAGCCAGAGTCTTGTTATGTAGTCCAGGCTGGCCTTCAATTCACTATATAGCCTAGGTTGAGCTCAAAATCTCAGTGATCCTCTTACCTCAGCCTCCCGTGTGCTGGGATTACAGGTGTATATTATCATGCCTAGCCTAACTTTCTTTTTTTTTTTTTTTTCTTAATTTTATTTAAAAGGAAAAAGAGAAAAAACAAAACAAAACAAAAAAGTGGTGTAAGGGTACAAGTAATAAAGAACTAAAAAAAAAAAAAAAAAAAAAAAAAAAAAACAGTAAGAAATCACCAGTTAATAGATTACACATTATTGTCTTAGAGACAGTTGCTCAAGTCACAGTATCAAAGCATACAAAGTGAACATTCAAACAGAGAGACTGCAAACAGTTGTGTTCAGTGATCCAACCAAAAACATTAATATGGTCAGCTATTTAACACCCCTAAACACACTTGCAGTTGTATCCTTTAGAGCACTTTTTTATCCTCTCTTTTTTACAACAAAATTTACTCATTTTGGGTTTTATTACTCCTTAGTTCTTATTCCTTTTTTTTTTTTTTTTTTTGGAAGAGAAAAAAGTCAAATATGGCAAAACAAAGCTGTCAGTCAAAACCAAGTATAGACATAGTACATGATGTAAGAACAGAGTACAAGGTTATCAACAGTGGTTACCATAATGTCTCTTGTTTCCTTAAATAGAATTGTCTATCTCATTAGGTATTATAAAGTTGAACAAAACAGTAGAGAATAAGACCAATAAAACTTAAACATTGTAAACATTACAGGACTTCCAAAGGAGATAATAGTCAAACCAGAATGGGCATCTTAGTGAATCTTACTGCCTTCAAAGTAGTTGCCTATATCCCCAAACTTGATACTATCATACAGAATGGAGCGGAGTCTAATCAGTCAAAATAAGATAGTGGGAGTATTACAGGACTTCCAAACAAGTTAATAGGAAATCAAAAAAAGTTACTATAATATATCCTGCTAATTTTTTAATTTTTCCCCTTAATTAAAAAAACCATAAAAAATAACTAATTTTTTTAATGAATAAGGGAGAGATTGAGATAAAAGAGGACATAACATAACAATACAGGTCAAAGCATGACTGTTTCAGCAACCTAGTGCCTCGCCACCAAATAACCCAATTTAATAGCAGTTACCATAGTGTCTTTTTCCTTGAAATATTTGAATATAACTTCATATACTATTGCTACAAATATTTCCATATCAAGAAGCCCAGAATAAAGCCTTTCCAATTAATAAGTGAAAACTTTATAAGGCTTCAAGGCCACATAATGGGGAATCATGATTACCACATACTTTTATATATTTGAATCACTACATACATTAGGGAAACTATTCGGTATTCACACATGCAAGATTGATTTATTTCACTTATGAGTACGGTCTCAAGCTGCGCCCATTTATTGATAAATATCTCAATGTGATCCTTCTTTGTAGCTGAGTAATACTCCATTGTATAGAAATACCACCACTTTTTTATCCATTCCTCAGTTGATGGACACTTGGGTTGTTTCCAAGATCTGGCGATTACAAACTGTGCTGCTATAAACATAGGTGCACATATATCACTGTGGTATGATGCTTTCAGTTCTTCTGGGAATATGCCTAGAAGTGGAATAGCTGGAATAAATGGGACTTCCAATCCCAGCTTTTTGAGAAATCTCCAGACTGACCTCCACAAAGGTTGTACCAGTCTACACTCCCACCAACAGTGTAGGAGAGTTCCTTTTTCCCCACAGCCTCTCCAGCATTTGTTGTCATTGGTTTTCTTAATCCTGGCCATTCTTTCAGGAGTGAGGTGGTATCTCAGTGTGGTTTTAATTTGCATTTCTCTAATGACCAATGATGATGAACATTTTTTCCTGTATTTATTTGCCATTTTAATTTCTTCATCTGAGAAGTGCGTATTCATCTCAGATGCCCATTTTTGGATTGGATCTTTGAATTTTGGGGGTCTGAGTTTTTTTAATTCTTTATATGTTTTAGACAAGAGTCCCTTGTCTGAGAGAGAGAGAGTTCACTAAAATCTTTTTCCAGTTTGTGGGTTTTCTTTTCACTATGCTGGAGATTTCTTTTGACATTCAGAAACTTTTTAATAAGAAGTGGTCCCAGTTATTGATTCTGGGAAGTATTTCTGGTGCAGTTTGAGTCCTGTTCATGAATTCTCTACCTACTTCTATGTCTTCAAGGTTTCTACCCAATTTGTCTTCCAATAGATTTAGTGTTTCTGTTTTAATATGCAGATCTTTGACCCATTTAGATTTTAATTTAGTACATGGTGATAGGCATGGGTCTAACTTTAGTTTTCGGCAAATGGAGAGCCAGTTTTTCCAGCACCATTTATTAAAGAGACTGTTGTTCTTCCAGTGAACCTGCTTCGCTCCTTTATCGTAGATAAGGTGGTTGAGTGTGTTTGTAGTTGTGGTTGTATCTTCTAATCTATTCCATTGATCTTCGGCTCTGTTTTGATTCCAATACCACATTGATTTTACTACTGTTGCTTTGTAGTATAACTTCAAGTCAGGGATTGTGATGCCTCCTGCCTTGCCTTTGCTGCTTAGAATTGCCTTTGCTATTCTAGGTCTCTTCTGGTTCCAGATGAATTTTAGGAGTGATTTCTCTAGATCTATAAGGTATATTGATGGTATTTTTATTGGGATTGCATTGAATCTGTATAACAGTTTTGGGAAAATGGCCATTTTCACAATGTTTGTTCTTCCTATCCATGAGCAAGGGATGTCTTTCCATTTTCTGAGATCATCTTCAATTTCTTTTTCAGTGTATTATAATATTCCCTGTATAGGTCTTTCACTTCTTTTGTAAGACTAATTCCTAAACATTTGATTTTTTGTTTGCTAATGTGAAGAGTGTGGTTTCTCTTATTTCCCTCTCTGTGATTTTGTTGTTAATGTATAGGAATGGTATTGATTTCTGAGTATTGATTTTGTATCCAGCTACATTATTGAATTTATTATATTTAAGAGTCTTTCAATGGAGTTTAGGGGTCTTCTATGTAGAGTATCATGTCATCTGCAAACAATGATAATTTAACTTCTTCTTTTCCTATCTTTACCCCTTTTATTTCTCTCTCTTGCCTAATTGCTCTGGCTAGTACTTCCAGTACTATATTAAATAGGAGTGGTGATAAAGGACATCCTTGTCTTGTGCCTGATTTTAAAGTAAAGGCTTTCAACTTTTGGCCATTTAGTATGATGCTGGCTGTTGGTTTGTCATAAATGGCCTTTATTATGTTGAGGTAAAGACCATCTATTCCAATTTTCTGTAAGGTTTTTATCATGAATGAATGTTGGACCTTATCGAACGCTTTTTCTCCATCTATAGAAATGATCATGTGATTCTTACTTTTGGCTTTATTGATATGGTGGATTACATTGATTGATTTACATATGTTGAACCATCCTTGCATTCCTGGGATGAATCCCACATGGTCATGGTATATAATCTTCTTGATGATTTGCTGCATCCTATTTGCCAATATTTTATTGAGGATTTTTGCATCTGTGTTCATTAAGGAGATCGGTCTATAGTTCTCTTTTTTAGTTGGGTCTTTCTCAGGTTTTGGTACTAAAGTAATATTTGCTTCCAGGAATGACTTAGGAAGGATTGCTTCCCTTTCAATTTCATTGAATAGTTTGAGGAGTGTTAGCATTAGGTCTTCTTTGTATTTCTTGTAGAATTCTGCAGTGAGTCCATCTGGGCCTGGGCTCTTCTTTGTAGGTAAGGACTTAATTACATGTTCAATTTCATTAACAGAGATTGGATTATTCAACAGTTTTACATCCTCTTGATCTAGCTTTGGTACTTCATATGTTTCTAAGAATCTGTCTATTTCTTCTGTGTTATCAAACCTTTGAGAGTAGAGGTTTTCGAAAAAGGTGTTGATGATTTTCTGTATTTCTATTGGGTCTGTAGTGATTTCACCTTTTTCATTTCTTAGTGCATGAATTTGAGCTTTTTCTACCCTTTTTAAAATAAGGTTGGCTAGGGACTTATAGATTTTATTCATTCTTTCAAAGAACCAACTCTTTGACTCATTGATTCTTTGGATTGTTTTCTTAGTCTCTATTGCATTAATTTCTGCTCTGATTTTTATAATTTCCTCTCTTCTTTTGGCTTTGGGCTTGACTTGCTCTTCTTTTTCTAGCTGTTTGAGGTGTAGCATCAAGTTATTTATTTGTATTCATTCTGTTTTCCTGATGTGGGAACCCAGTGCAATAAATTTTCCTCTGAGGACAGCTTTCATTGCATCCCACAACTTCCGGTAAGTTGTATCTGCATTTTCATTTTCTTGTAGGAATTGTTTAATTTCTTCTTTAATTTCTTCTGTGACCCACTGATTACTCAAGAGTGTGTTATTCAGTTTCCAAGTATTTGTGGGATTTTTGCAGTATCTTTTATCATTAATTTCTAATTTCAGAGCGCTATGATCCGATAACATGCAAGGGATGATTTCAACTCTTTTGCATTTGTTTAAATATGTTCTGTGAGCTAAGATATGGTCTATTTTAGAGAATGATCCATGTACTGCTGAGAAGAATGTGTATTCTGATGTTGTTGGGTGGAACATTCTGTATATGTCTATCAAATCCATTTGTTCACAGGTGTGATTCAGTTCTGTTATTTCTTTGCTCATTTTCTGTCTAGTTGATCTGTCCCTTGGTGTCAATGGCGTATTAAGGTCTCCTGTTACAATTGTGTTACTGCTAATTTGAGTTTTCATTTCTATTAGTAGTTGTTTTATATAACTGGGTGCTCTGGAGTTTGGTGCATTTATATTTAAGATAGTTATCTCTTCCTCTTGGAGTTTTCCCCTAACGAGTATGTAGTGACCTTCTTTGTCCTTTATGGTCATTGTTGGTTTAAAGTTCCCGTTGTCTGTAAACAGAATGGCTACTCCTGGTTTTTTTGGATTCCTGCTGCATGAAGTATTGTTTTCCATCCTTTGACTTTCAGTCTGTGAGTATCCTTCTGGGTTAGACGGGTTTCCTGTAAACAGCATATGGTTGGATTTTGTTTCTTGATCCATTCTGCTAGTCTGTTTCTTTTGATTGGTGCATTGAGGCCATTTACAATAATGGTTATTACTGTTAAATGCTGTTTTATTGTTGACATGTTATCTCTCTGCTGTTCCTTCTTTATCTTTCTGTTCTGTTTAATTATCTGCTTTGCTTAGTGGTTTTTTCCTTTGTGTATCTAAACTGTCTTTCAATATTTTTTGCAGGGTTGGCTTGGTGTTCATGAAGTTCTTTGGCTGTTCTTTGTCATGGAAGTATCGTATTTCACCATCAATTTTGAATGATAGTTTTTCAGGATACATTAGTCTAGGTTGGAAATCATTTTGCTTTAGGATCTGGAATACTTCACTCCATGCTCTTCTTGACTTTGTTGTTTGTGCTGAGAAGTCTGCTGTGATTCTGATAGGTTTTCCTTTATAAGTGATCTGTCTTTTTTCTCTGACAGCTTTTAATAATCTATTCTTGTGTTGGATTTCTGGGATGGTGATTATTATATGTCTGGGTGTAGTTTTATTTTGGTTATGACTATTTGGAGTTCTATATGCTTCACTGATCCTGATGTCAGTTTCTGATCTCATGCTTGGGAAATTTTCAGCTATTACTTCCCCAAATATCCTCTTGACATCCTCTATGTTGTCTCCTTCTTTTTCATTAATCCCTATCATTCTTATGTTATTTTTCTTTGCATCATCTTGCAGTTGTTGAATTGTTGTTTCCTGATTCCTTGTTATTTTTAAAAGATCTTTCCTTTCCTGTTCACTAGCTGCAATCCTGTCTTCAAGGTCTGAAATTCTATCTTCACTTTCATTGAGGCGGTTTTTACAACTTTCAGTGGAGTTTTTTATTTCCTGTATATCTCTGTGCATCTGCATTATGTATTCTGTTTGTTTCTTATATTGCTCATCTAGGGATTCTATCTTTTTGTTTAGTTCCTCCAATTTTTAAACTGTGTTTTCTTTAGATATATTCAGAATCTCTTTCATTTCTTTTATCCTTTCTTCTTTTACCTGGGAAATTATTTTGAGTTTGAATTCCTTTAAAGCTTCCTGGAGTTGCTTGTTAATTTCAGTAGCTATTATGTCCGATATTTGAGATGAATGGCATATATTTTCTTCTATATACATTGCTCCTACGGTTTCTTGAGATGGGCTGGAGGTTTGAGGTTGTAATTTGGTCTTTCGTTTTGTCATTTTCGTATATTTCTGTGTTTCAAGTGTTATTTAAAAGCTTCCTCAGGTTCTGTTGGAAATCCCCTTTTATGTTCACCGCTCCTGAGACTCTGGCACCCCGTTACCTCAAGCCCCTGGGCCTGTAGAACCAATGGCCCTCTTCTGCCTGTTTAGAACTCCATAGTTCCAGATAAGCTGGGGTTCAGGGACACTGTGCGCCCACCTGCTTGTTGGAAGCTTCACCATTCTCCAAGTGCAGCCGGAATGGGGAGGCGGATGTAGATGCCTCAAACCCACTTATCCACTTCACTTCACCCAGAAGCCTGGAGGGTCCCAAAAAGTCAGCTTTGTGCAGAGTACACTGAGCACTTACTGCAGGCTGCGGGGCCTCTGGAACCTGCGATGCTCCCCTGCTTGCTGAGATATCCACAGTCCTCCAGACACACGGGGAGGCGGATGCAGGCGCCCCAGATCTGCCCAACCCTTCCTCTGCACACCGATGGTGAGGTGCAGGAGTTCCAAATAGGCTGGGCTCTGGGGATAGTGTGCACCCGCCTACTTGCTGGAAACTCCACAGTTCTCCAAGCACAGCCGGAATGGGGAGGCAGATGATGTAGATGCCTCAAACCCACTTATCCCCTTCACTGCACCCGGAAGCCTGGAGGGTCCCGAACAGTCTGGGCTTTGTCTGGTCTGGGAGTCTTTAAAATATATTGTTGAGAGTCCTCATATGATAGAATATTTTGGCATAGGAGGGAACCATCTGATAGGATTTTGGCATAGCTTTGCTGTTACTTCGCCCTGAGGACCACAGTGACTTTCTAGCTGGCTTTCTGCTTCCTCCTTGCTGTGCTCCAGCAGCTCAGTGTGAAGTAATGCCATACGAACCCAAATTGTGAAGACTGCAGTTAATTTTTTGTCATTTTGAAGAAAACTGTGACCCAGGGAGTCTTCTTGTGTCTGCACTGGATAAACTTGGACCAACGGAAACCTGTGTGGACCTGTGGAGGGCACCCGAGTTGTGCACTGATGATTCAGGCGATGCACGCTTCTCCACTTTCCCTTGCAGAGGGGGCCACAGAAACTAGAAGGCCCCTCTGGAAATCCAACCTTCGGGGCAACTTCCCCAGCCTGGAAGCCTAGCCTAACTTTCAAATGAAGGCTTGAACTATGGTTGCCACGTAAAATACAGGATGTCCTTATTTTTTTTTTGTATGACTTCGGGGATTGAACATGCTACACAAATGTTCTACCACTGAGTTATATCCCTGTCCCTTTCAAAATTTTGTTTTGAGGCCAAGTCTCACTAAATTGCCCAGGATGGTTTTCAATTTGTAATTCTCCTAGCTCAGCCTCCCAAGGGAATGAGATTATAGGTAAGTACTTCGCCCAAGGGTGAATAATTTTAGTGTATTTCAATGTTAAATGGGGTACATTTATATTAACAATTATTGTTTACAAGAAATTCAAATTTGACTTTATGTTCTATATTTTTATTTGCTAAATCTGGTAACTCTGAACTTCTCAAATCTAATATTTTTTCTGTTTACATTGTATCTTACCTTTCTGGTGATGGTAGTGGAGGGGAAGGCATAACTGGCTTGGACTGGAATCGAGCAGCTTCTTTTTTTTTGACTAATCTCTTGGCTTTAGCGTTCAGCTTTCTTCTTTGTTGTTTGAACTTGGGCATGATTTCTGTGGAGAAATTTTAAAAATATTTTCATTGAAATATATATACACGTTTTACAAACCTGAAATGTACAAGGTGTGATCAATGTAAATAATGAATGTATACAGAAAATTTAAAAAAATTTATTACAGTGAAATATAATTAGCATTAATCTCCCCGCCCTTGGTTTGAACATACTTCTCCCATCGTTCTTGTCACTTTCCTTTTCTTTTTTCTTTTTAAAATTGTTTTTGGTTTTTTGAGACACAATTTTGTGACTCAGTTCAGGCTGACTTTGAACTCACTTTAGCCCAGAGATCCTGAGAGATCCTCCTGCCTCAGTTTCCAGAGTGCTGGGATTATAGGTGTGCACCACACACCTCATTAAAAAGGATATTTCTTTACTTTGGCAACATTTATTGAACATTCAGGTGAGTGAGTTGTGGGAGGAGGAAACATTAGCTATTTATAGAGTGGCAGATTTTACTCAAGAAAGCAAAAGTGAAGATTGGAAGAGAAACTGGCTCTGCAGAGTGACCTTGGGCCAGGAAATAGAAAAAGAGGGTTAGAGCAAGATGAAAAAGCACATGATGCATCTAGGAAACACAGCGTCAATATTATGGAAGTTATGACAGCCATTAAATATTTATTGAATGCTCTTTTAGTTTTAGGTATTTTCACAGTTAATCTCCACCATCCTAAAAAAGTATTCTCCCTAATAAGGAGGATGTTATTCCCATTTTTACACAAAAATAAACTGAAGGTTAGAAAATTTAGATCATCTACTTAGTGTAGTAATGGAATACAGGGTAAAGTTCAGATCTGTGGGTCTTCAAAGATCATTTCTGTGTTACTAGACTATGGTACAAAGTAGCTAAAACAAGCACTATCTAATGAAATCGTAATTACCCCAGGCCCAAGATATAAGTATTTTAAAACATTATCGAGTATATTTGTATCTTAATCCACATCCTTTTCTGAAGGAAATTAAGTCCAAGCTAGTTTGATCTCAGCTCCAGAAGGGCTTTGTTGGTTTTAGTTGTAGCTACCTGAGGAACAAAGACGTTATTCAAATAGCAGGAACTAACATGTTCTCAAGGCCTGGGCCTCTTTCCCTTAAAACTTACATTTGAATAGGGACAACTGGCCTTTAAAATACACATTGATTCCACTTCTGTGCACTCAGTAATCTTTCTGTACTTGGTATGCAGCTGTGCACTTACTGAGTTCTCAGATTCCGAGGGCAGCAGGATTTTCTCTCACCCGGGGGCCTGTAGAGGCGCCCCCTAATGGGAAGAAGCAACAGTGCGCATAGCAATAGCTCTCCAGATTCTTGATAGCATTTCAGGACTCATTGTTGGTTACTAAATTAACAGAGTATTTTCATAAATTGTTCTTAGAAGTTTAGGAGGCATCTGTTACCTTTATTATATCACCTCTCCCCATTGCTAATTAAGGAAGGCTAATCGGAGATTATGAAATAGAAGTTAGTGAATTGTTTGTTTTTGGTGGTACTGGGGATTGAACCCTTTACTCTGAGCTACATCCCCAGCCTTTCCTAATCTTTTTTTAAATTTTAAAATTTTTAAAAAATTCTTTTAAATATTGAGACTAGGTAATGTTAAGTCCCATGGTAGGTTTGATCTTGCTGTCTTCCTGTCTCAGCCTCCCAAAAGTGTTGGGATTACAGGTGTGCACAACTATGTCCAGCTTTTTTTTTTTTTTTTAAACTTAAAATGAAATGTTCTTTTTATTTTAATTTTTCCTTTCTGTGGTGCTAAGGATTAAACTCAGGGTCTTGAGAATGTTAGGCAAGAGCTGTACCACTGAATTACATTCCTGCTCCTATAAAAAACATTCTTAATGTATTTATGAGAACCTCCTAGGAAGTAGTAATCTTGAGATTGCCTGGTAGGGGGGAACACATTAAATCTCATCAGATCCATGAGAACTTTTTCTGGAAACCCCTATCCAAGGTTTAGAGTTCACAGTGTCAGGCTTGACCTGAGAGACCTCATGCTTGCTCTTGTAAACAATGAGAAGCAATAGCTTGCTCCTAGAAATAAGAAAAAAGGGTAATAAAAATTTAATGTCAGGCTACAGTCACTCTGCAGTCCCTTGATGCCAATTCTGTGTACCAACCAGCACTGATTGCCCATTCAACCTTAAACTCAAACACTTCATCCAGAGTCTTTAAAACTGGACCCCCAACTTTAAAACCTACATATACTTAGTCCCCCCATTAGATATCTGCTGATATACACTCCAATGTCAGCCTGCCTGTGGGAAGAGGAATAAAATCTGATGCTCCCCACCTCACACACCATTATTACACACAGTTGGGATTCCCAGGTCAGAGACTTTTATCTGTCCCTGCAGTCTTTTCCTGTTTCCTTTTATTTATTCCTTGACGTATTTTGTTAATGATCAAATTGGTCCACAGACCCAGTCTCCTGTCCTTTTAATTTTTTTGTATTACCAACCCTTAAATTATGAAAATAGGCATTAAAAGGGAGTTGAACTTTCCCATTAAACCTGGTAGATTAATTCTGACAAAGATTTCATTTTTGATCACACTTCTGTCAGGCTCCTGACCTCCTAAACCTATCTATCTTCCTGGCAAAATTTAGCAATGAATATTGCTAAATCAGTTTAGCGTGAACTAGCTCCTAAAACCAGTATCTCATCCTTCACCACCTCCTCATTAATGTCTGATTACTGTGACCTGTCTTCAAGAAGAATCCTCTTCCCTCTTGTGTTTCCTCTTACCCATCTGCTAACCTTGTTCTTTGCTTATTAATTTCTAGGTGTGTATGATGTATCTCATTAGCATGATCCCTATAACTATTGCAAAGATCCTGAATAAAGTCTTTCTTATTATGTGTTAGCAAGTATAATTAAAGAATTTTTTCTTTAACAATTCTAGGCGCCAGATGGGTGGCTCAGTGGTAGAATGTTTTCCTAGCATGTGCAAGGTACTGGGTTCTATCCCTTGTACAAACAAACAACTCCTAAATAATTCTTTACTATGACTCCCAAACCTGTTCACTATTTAGTTCTAATAACTCTTTGCAGTATTTCTTGTAGTGACCAGAAATTTGTACTTCAGGTATACCAAACACTTTTTATAGTGTTATCAACTTTTCCTTTTATTTGAAATGTCCTCTTCCAGGTCATCTTATCCTAGCCTTCAAGATTTGATTTGATTTATTGATTTATTTTTGGTGGCACTGGGGATTGTATGTTTGCACCCTGCTGAGCCATGAGATTTTTAAGGTTAACATAACATTTTAGTCATCTTTGTTTCTTTAGTAGCTAGAAGATAACAGGTATTAGGTAATGTTTCATTTAATAAATGAGTAGAAGAAATCATTCCTTCTAAATGTTAATATACTTTTATACAATTAAATGCTGTGAAATTTTTTATTGCGAAAAGTTTAGTTTTTCATCTTAGCATACATCTTCATATGATTAAAGGATGGATCCAAAACTTTTGGAATAGGAAAACTTTTCAAGTAGAAAGATGCAACAAACAGAATTATAGTCTTTTGCACGAATTGGCGTTGCTGTTTCTGCTAAAACTCTATTGGATGGTATGAAAATTCTCTAGTCAAGGCACTTCCAAACTCAGTCAGTACGAAAATGACAGTTGCACTGTATTACACGTTACACTTAGGTTTCAGCCAACTCTGATTTTATTACTAGTTCATCTTGAACATCACAATGCTGTTTTTTCATAGTAGCTTATACTTAGTTTTATGAGTTATGTTGTACAGCATTGCTTTTTTAGATTCTGTCTTGTTTCCCAAGAGACTACTAAAGTTTCATTCAAGGGGCTAGGGATTTAGCTCAGCGGCATAAGCACCTGCCTTGTAAGCAGGAGGTCGTGAGTTCGATCCCTAGTACCGATAAAAAGTTAAAAAAAAAAAAAGAGTAAAGTTTCATTCAGCACAATATTTGTCAGATAGTAACAATGGCACACTTTTAAAATTGATTAATGTCGGACGGCATTAAACTATATCACGGAACATGGTAGTGTTCCCAGGTAAAGAAATGTGCCTCACGGGAAGGTCTTGTTAAAATGTGTATTCCGATTGAGTAAACCTGGGTGGAGCCCGATCATTTACATTTGCAACAAGCAATACAGAGATCCTAATGTCGCTAGTTCATGGACCCATTTTGAGTACCGGAAACGTAAAAGAATGAGCAAAGGAAAGTAGATGCTTTACTGCAAAATCTACTTTGCAGAGTGTTAATTTAGAAGCGTGATTCGGGAGGAGTCAGGTGGAAGAGTTCTTCCCCATCCTCAAACCTCTCCCTTTGCGGCTCCATCTCTCTTCTCAGCCCAGCTAAAGTCCTCAGTTCCTTAAGCAATAAGAACACAAGCAGCAAAAGGTCCGGTTGCAGAAGATGCGAACCCATGTAACAAAAAAAAGAAATCGTTCCTGCACTTACTAGTCTAACAGCCAGGGGGGTTAGACGGAGTCCGAGCAGCAGCCTCTTTATGCCGTAAAGATTCAAAATTAAATCCTTGTCTTGGAGCGACCAATTATAGGTGAATTCTCCCCACGATTCGCTCTCTTGGTAGCGTAGGAGTCCAGCCTCACTTATGATTGGCTGAAAGCGCACACCCTCCGGCCAATTAGAGCTGAGGCGCTTCTGCTATGAATAAAAGGAAGGAGGGAGAGAAGGCGAAGGAGAACAGGAAAGAAGGTGTGTCACGTTCCCTGTGTTGTCGGTGGAAGCTTCCGTGTAATTGGTTGCTGCTGCTTCTAATCGCTCCAATAGAAAGCTCTTTTCTGTGGAGCCCTATGAAATTGAAAGTAGAGAAGAGAGGGCAGCCAGTAGGAAAAAAAATATGTACATGAGCCAATCGCCCTGCGGCGTTTTGTGTTTTTGGCCAACAGGAAATTGTGTTTCATGCGGAGGGGCGTTACCCAATCGCCAATGGATTGGCGCCGGTGATATAGAAGAGCCAATGAGTGCGAGACGTTGAATGACAGCTGTCCAATAGAGATCCTCAGTGCTAGCAAGATTTACACTTTAAGCACCGCGGGGCGCTGAAGAATATCAGCTATTCAACATGGAGGCGGAGGTCGATAAGCTGGAATTGATGGTGAGTACAAAGTGAAGGAGATCTACTGGGTGATTAATTTTTCCCACAAGGCCTCGAAGCTAGGACGCAGTTTGGAGTCACCGGAAACTCTGGGCGACGGAGGCTAGACCAGAATCTGCGTTCCTTTCTCCTGCACCAAAGCGAGCCTCCACCTTCTTGGTCCCTTAACCGCCGCGGGGGGGTGGGGAAGGGGTTACATCCGGGAAACTCGTGAGGGAAATGGCGGGAGATGCTGAGGGTGCGGGGCCTCTGGAATTTCTTGCCTTGCCTTCCCCTTCCCTCAAGTCGCTACGCCTGGTGCATACAGCACTTTACATATTTCTACCAAAGAGAGAACCTACTTCGCGCCCCAAGAAGGAGACCAGTCCTTAAGCGCCCTAAAAAGGGGATCGTTCCTACTCTTAGGGGCTTGGAGGCTGGGGTGGAGGAATAAGCCTAGAGGGGCGGGGAGCAATCCCTTCAGAGCTGAGTCGTTCTTGTTCTTGAGGCGGGCCGAGAAAGTGTGAGAAAAGATGCTAGACTTGCCTTGCAACTTCCTAGCGTCCCAGGAAGTCCTCAGACCCGTTTGTGTTTGGTCCAGAGGTGGCAAGCCTTGGTGTGGGGAGAGGAGGCATCGGTAGGTATTGCTACCCCGAGCGCCAGCGGGATCGGGACCGGCGAGCACTTTGCTCCGGAGTCGCCCGCTTTCCTTCATTCTTGAAAGAAGAGGACATGGAAGGGAGTGGAAAGGCGCCCTTTGGTTGCTGCTTTTTGGCCTGCTCTAGAGCTCCGAGCAGGGGCGTTGTCCTGGTTTTTAGCTTTTCCCTTTACCTCCCCTCACATCCCGAGATTTGCAGTTCGATAGCCCGCGCTTTTTTCTTAGTTCTCTTATTCTATCTTCAGTCCTTTGTTCGTCCATGCTTAGTTTTTCCAGTTTGAGCTGGTTCCCTTAAAAATGGGTTTGGAGAAAGTATTCGTCGTTAGGCCCTTGTCGTTTTTTTGTTAGAGAAAATCACGAGATTAAATTTTGCGAAGTAGGAAACTTGTTTCTTCATCCACAATCCATGGCGCCTCCGCCTCCCTTCCTACTTGGGTTACTGCTTGAGTATCGGTTGTGCCTAGGCTGCTCTTTCCAAGGTGATTTTGGGTCTCGCATTTCTGCCTTGGAAAAGACGCGTGGGTATCTTGGAAAATACTGAGTGCCACCCTACCGCAATTCTCACTTTAGAAATTTGAGACCTTGATTTATTTCATTTCCCTTTAATGTGTTAATGAATTGAAGTGCTTCTCAAAAACAGATTTAAAGGATTGCAATTACTTTTGTTTTTCATTGCTTTCAAAATTTTGTTTAAGTTGCCAGTGTGTATGTAGTGAGTGTGGGAATGGGGACAGGGACAAAGTGGCAGGATGGAGGGAGCAATGAAAGGGAAGAATTTTCTATAGCTTTTCAAGCCTCCAATAATGAATAGTCAGTTTATGTTCTGGGGTTTTAAGGTTATTTTATATCTTAAATACAAAAAATGTTAAATATTTCAGTTTGAGTCTAACAACAGGTATAAATGTATCATGCACCCCTACTTTGAATTCCTTCCTTCAGATGCATATATTTCTGCTTAATTGTTAATGGTGAATGATGCTAATTCTGCTTTTAACAGTTTTTTTTTTTCTTCTGGATTTGAAAGTTTTAATTTTCAGACTTTCTAGCTTTTGCAATATGGTTAATGGTCTTACAAGACTTTTTTAGAGTGCACTAATTCTATTTTAAGGGAAAGACAAGTAATCTGGAAAAGAGTAGGTTTTAGAAACTTATGAGGTAACCAAACTTTTCAACATTTAGATGTTATTTCAGTTGGGGAAGTTTAAAAAACATTTTTTTTGAAGGGAGGAAGAAAATCAAAGAGGTCTTTTTTGTTAATTTTCTTTCAAGTGAATTCAACTTCCCTTCCCCTCTTTCAAGTTACTGTTTTTGTAATTTGGGTTTAAAACCATATACTTTAAAAATGTAATTTAATTTTTCTCATTTTTTTCATACTACTGCTTTATATTGACTAGATAGTAAAAGGCAGTATATCTCATCTGCAGATTTTTCTTGTTCATTAAAAATTTTTTAAAAAATTCGTGAACCAGCGTATTTTCTGGGATTCCAAAAGTAAATGATCTCCTGTTTAATTTTCTGATTTTTGGTTTTGTATTACTTAAATAAAGGACTTGCCAAGGAACTAGTAATAAATATTTGACAGTGAAAAGAGAATGCATACTATTTAACTTGTTAAAAAAAAAACCCTAGTTATCCTAATTTTGTAAATAGCCTTATCTTAATTTAATTTTTAAATATTTTTCTTGTTTGTATTAGCTTCCAATTCAGAAAGTTAACCATTTGCCTTTATTTGACTTTAAAACCTGATACTTGGTTAATAGAGTTAAATATTCTAATATTTGAGCTATAGGGCCCAGGATTTGAGGCCAAGATTCTCAAGTTCCAGCTGTCCTGAATGTAAGACCATTTGTCGGTAGGCTTAATCCACCTAAGTAGTTGAACCTGGACCATTTAAAAGAAGGCTGGTGAAAATATGGAAATGTACTTCAGCATCAATCAACATTACTAACAGAGGAATAACCTCATTGTAGAGTAATCTTTGTCCTCATTTTCCCTTCACTTACTGACTGGGTGGTGTTTGTCTAGGGACCTCTTTTTGTCCACTACTGAATGTACACAAAAGGTAGCAGAGTGTGATACTGTGACAGTTTCTAGGGTTACATCTGACTTTTAAAGAAACCTTTTTTTTTTTTTTTTTTTTTTTTTTTGTCTTTTTCGTTTTTATCGGTACCAGGGATCGAACTCATGACTGCCTGCTTGCAAGGCAGGCGCTTATGCCGCTGAGCTATATCCCCAGCCCCAGAAACCTTTTTTTTAAAGGAAACTTGTTATTTAAATCTCAGTCACCTCCATTATTATTTTTCTCTTGACATTTCTACATTTGAAGGAAATCAATATGTCTTCTATATTTAAGATAATGTAAGAGTTAACTGAAATGCTAAAAGCTTCTATAGTGTTCCATAAAGTTGGGTTGATAATATCCAGTTCAGCACTAGTTGATTCCCTAGGCATCTCCTTCATTGTAATAGTAGCCCTGGTAAACTTTGGGGATAAAAAGCTATAAGGTGGTAACTGTTATTCATAATTTTAAAAGTGTAGCTTAGGATCTGGAGTAATTAATTGCGTATGTAGACGTTTGAAAAGTTTCTTATTTTAGTTTCCATTTTTCTTTGACATACTTATTCCAAGGGTTTATTTTATATGGCAGATAATCACTTACTTTGGAAAAGAAGCTAACCACCAAACCATCTCAACAGAAAATAGAAACATTTAAAACAACATTGATTTAGTAGTAATTGTAGCTGGTTTTGTTAATACCAATCCTAAGGTATTAATAATACCTATCTTAATTACTACTAAGTTTTAGAACATACTTACAAAATTCCCTTATATCTCTGCATGTTTCTGTTTGAATGTTAATACAGGTTAGCTACATCAAAAAACAGTTATCACTTTGATATTTAAGTCTAATCTTTTTTTTTTTTTTTTAAAGAAAATAAGCCTTGATATAAATGTTTTTAGGTTTTTGGATGTCTTCTGACCAAAATGGCAACCCAACATTAAATTCTTTTTACACTGAAGCTTCAAGTGATGCAAGATACTTTTGTGTTCCTTTTCTACTTATTACTGCTAACGAATGCTCTGACTTTATTGCACTACTGTACTTTACAGCTAGCAGTGCAATAGTATTGTCAAAGCATCTGAAAGCAGGGTACACGTCAGAATTTTTTATCCTTGCTTTATATCTTCAGTATTTATGAATAATTTAACCACAACCTGTGTTGCTGAAAACTGTATAATTTTGTTACAAACAGTATATCTTTTAGAAAGTCATAATTGAAAAAACACTTTAACCTACCATTAAAAACTCACTTCTATACTGCATTATGAAACACATCGAGAAAATACTTTTTATATTTAAAGTTCTTATGCCTTGTGTAAATGAGTAACACTTCGTAATTTGCTTCTTTTGAAATAATTTTTTTGGTAATTTTTTTTTTGGTAACACATTTAGATAATTTCTGGCAAATCATAGATTCTCTTTAACTTAGTGTTATGATGAATTAGGAATTGATAAAGATAACGTCTTCTGTGTATGCCCTATGGTGACTTGCCCCATTTTAATTAGCGTTAATTTTGGTATTATGTAGGCAATACTTGAATTTAAAACTTAATGATTGATTTAAAATTCACTTTGTAGTTATGTGTTAAAAACTGAATTCATCACTATTTTTGGTAACCAATTTTAATGAGAGATAATTTACTTTTTTAAAATTTGTGATACTGGGGATCAAACTCATGACCTCATGCTTGCCAGGTAGGCAGTTAGGCCACTGAGCTAAATGCCCAGCCCCCTGAGAGATAATTTGAACAAAATACAACTCACCAATTTAAAATGTAGCTGGGCGTGTTGGCACATGCACCCTTTGGGAGGCTGAGGCAGTAAGAGCACTGCAAGTTTGAGGCTAGCATGGGCCACAAAGTAAGTTCAAGGCCAGCCTGAACTAAATAGTGAAACCCTGTCTCAAAAAGACCAAAAAAGCCCACAACAGCAACAAACCCCCCAAAAACCAAAAACCCTCTAAAAACCTTAAAAAGTGTTTATAGCTGGGCATGATGGCTCACATCTGTAATCCCAAAACTCTGAGAGGCTTAGCAAGGAGAATCAAAACTCCAAACCCAGCCTGGATAACTCAGTAACTTAGTGAAACTCTTGTCTTAAAATTTAAAACAGAGCATAGTTCAATTCCCAGTGAGAGGTGGGGGTTGAAAAAGTGCTGAGCTATAGAGTCTAGCTAGTATAGTTCAGGTGGTTTTGAACTCACAATGTAGCCCAGGCTGGCCTTGAACTCTGTGTAAGTTAATGCTTACATATGGTATGAAGTGTGAAGGGCCTGTTTTTCTTTTCTTTCTTTCTGTTTTT